AGCAGCGGGCGGGTCAGGAGAGGTCTGCCACGCCATGTGGTCACCTCCGGGGCAGGCGGGGATCGAACTCATGCGCAAGTGGCTTAAGCTTCTCAGTGCTGTGCTTTAGCCCGCTGAGCCACCAGGGAGGGCCTGATTATATTTTTAAAGCACAGTGCCATATGTGCTCACCCACAAGCTGAACAATAAGCGTTGCTTGCTGAGCTACTGACTGCCTCGTTCTTTTAGTTAGCTCTGTGAACAGCTTGGTACACACCTTGCACACCTTTCTCAGAAATGCCTTGTTTCCTCCTGGTCAGCAGAATGGCCTCGCAGGCCCATTCCACAGAGGCATTATGAACTGACCCAGGAAAGTTCCATGTGGCCTCTCAGATGGGGGTGACACTGGGAGACACTTCCTCTCAATCTGAGAGCACCCTCAAAGTTGCTTGTCAGGTTTTTGTATGGTGCCCTGGCTCCCTGGCAGCAAGAGAGCACTCCTGACAGGGAGGAAAATGAACACGGAGCGCACAGCAGGAAGGGTGCTGCAGTAGCACCCGCCCCAGGCACCCAGCAAGCTGATTGTGTCCATTTCACAGATGGGGAAACCGAGGTTCTAGGAACCTGTCCTCCAAAGCCCTTTCTTCGACTCCACCCTGAAATGTCTGCCTGTGGCTACCTGGCTGTTCTTACACTCTTCCCTCTCCCACTGCAGGTAATATGCCCCAGGCGAGCCAGACACCCCCTTCCAGTAGCCCAGCTGTCCACGGCCTCCCAAAGTCCCCAGACCGGCCGGGCTCCACCAGCCCCTTTGCCCCATCGGCAGCTGACCTTCCTGGCATGCCCGAACCGGCCTTGACCTCCCGTGCAGACGTGACAGGTACTGTATCTTTTCAGTAGTCAGAGAAAGACATCTCTGAGTGGGACACAGCCTCAGACCATGACCCTGCGCCCAGCCCCGGCCGGCTCTGCCCTGGGAAGGCGAAGAGGGCTGACCGCCCCAAAGGAGGGGCGTCCCCGGGGTGCCTCTCACTCACTCTGACACCAGCTTCTTCACCTCCAGAGAATGAGCTGTCCCCTGGCCAATGTCCAGCTGCTCTCAAGGTCTCCAGCAAGCTTCCCAAATGGCCTGGTGAGTGACGGGGCTGGACGCGGAAGCCCAGATCAGCTGCGTCTCCGTCACTTGACACGCAGCGTCCTTTATTTGCTGGCTCGCTGGCTCACTCGTCCAGTCATTCACATTCTCATCACCGTCTGCCACCACATCAGCACTTCTGTCTCCTAAGTAGTACCGAAAGGGGACCTGCCCCTTAGCCAACCCACGGTGAAGCTGCCTCCTGTCTGTGAGGCCGAGAATGAATGAGGAAGAGAGGGACCCTGAGCAGAAAGAGGAAGGAAAAAGTGGATGCGGCGCGTGGGAGGTGGAACTGGAAGTTCCCAGCTCCCTGAGTCCCACTTAGCCCAGGGCCTCTGCTCGGCCCATCGGTAGAGCTGGTTGTTCAAGTTGCAGTAACTTGAGCGGAACCCCCAACTGAGACTAGTGGAGCATAGCGCATGCTCAAAGGCACACCCGTAAGGGGTGGTGGGGCTAGGCTTTGACCCAGACACGTGAATTCCACAACCACTCCATGGTAAAAGGAGAAACAGAGCTGTGAGGAAAGGAAGGCGTGGACGGACACACAAGTGAGGAGGAGGAACGGGTGTGCGAATGGGTGAGGAGGTGAATGAACCGGGGTCTGGGTGACCGAATGAGAGAGCTAACAAAGCAGGCCGCCGTGAAGGCCGGTGGCGCCGTGAAGGCCGGTGCCAGCATCCAGGCTGGCCCCCTGCTGGCCAGCCCTGCCTCTAATATCCCCCGTGGTCCCCGCAGAGAATGTGGAGACGTTCTGCCACGCACTACGGGACAAGTACCAGGCCGAGCCTGCAGGCCTGGAGGGCATCCTGGTGGAGGTGGAGCTGATGAGGGCGCGGCTGGAGAGGAGCAGCGGCAAGAGCCAGGAGAGGGAGCTGGCCACCCCGGACTGGGCGGAGCGGCAGCTGGCCCGCGGGGGCCTGGCTGAGGTGCTGCAGGCTGCCAGTGACCGGCGGCGGCCTCGCGAGACACAGGTGATCGCGGTGCTGGGCAAGGCAGGACAGGGCAAGAGCCACTGGGCCCGGGCCGTGGGCCGGGCGTGGGCCTGTGGCCAGCTGCCGCAGTACGACTTCGTCTTCTCCTTGCCCTGCCGCTGTCTGGAGCGCCCGGGGGACACCTACCGCCTGCAGGACCTGCTCTCCATGCTGGGCCCGCAGCCACTGGCGGTGGACGACCAGGTCTTCAGCCACATCTTGAGGAGGCCGGATCGCGTCCTGCTCATCCTGGATGCTTTCGAAGAGCTGGAGAACCCAGACGGCCTCCTGCACAGCTCGAGCGGACCCCTGTTGGCGGAGACCCGCTCCCTCCGGGGGCTGCTGGCGGGCCTCTTCCAGCGCAAGCTGCTGCGGGGCTGCACCCTGCTGCTCACGGCCCGGCCCCGGGGCCGCCTGGCCCAGAGCCTGAGCAAGGCCGACGCCCTCTTTGAGATGGTGGGCTTCTCCGCCGAGCAGGCCGAGGCCTACGTGACGCGCTACTTTGAGGTCTCGGGAGCCCCGGAGCACCGAGACAGGACCCTGGGGCTTCTCCGGAAACAGCCTTTCCTGCTCGCTCACGGCCACAGCCCCACTCTGTGCCGGGCGGTGTGCCAGCTCTCGGAGGCCCTCCTGGGGCTGGGAGAGAAGGCCCAGCTGCCCTCCACCCTTACGGGACTCTTCGTGGGCCTAGTGGGCCCAGCAACCCGCGACAGCCCCCCGGGGGCCCTGGTGGGCCTGGCCAAGCTGGCCTGGGAGCTGGGCCGCAAGCACCACAGCACCCTGCGCAAGGACCAGCTCTGCTCGGCCGAGGCGAGGGCCTGGGCTGTGGCCAGCGGCCTGCTGCTGCCCGCCCCGGGCTCCCCAGAGACTGAGCTGGTCTTCCCCAGCTTCCTCCTGCAGTGTTTCTTGGGGGCTGTGTGGCTGGCTTTGAGCAACGAGGTCAAGGACAAGGAACTGCCGCAGTATTTGGCCTTGACGCCAAGGAAGAAGAGGCCTTACGACAACTGGCTGGAGGGCTCGCCTCGCTTTCTGGCAGGTCTGGTCTTCCAGCCTCTGGCGCAAGGCCTGGGGGCCCTGGCAGGGCCAGCAGTGGGCACCTTGGCGAAGAGGAAGCAGAAAGTGCTCGCCAGGTACCTGAAGCGGCTGCAGCCGGGGCTGCTGCGGGCGGGGCGACTCTTGGAGTTGCTGCACTGTGCCCACGAGGCCGAGGACCCTGGGATCTGGAAGCACGTGGTGCAGGGGCTCCCCACCCGCCTCTCCTTCCTGGGCACCCGGCTCACGCCCCCCGACACCCACGTGCTGAGCAGCGCCTTGCAGGCGGCGGGCCAGGACTTCGCCCTAGACCTGCGCAGCACTGGCATCGACCCCGCCGGACTGGGGAGCCTCGTGGGACTCAGCTGTGTGACCCGTTTCAGGTGGGAGAGGCACTGGGGGAGCTTCTGTACGTGGGCAGGGCTGTGTCCAGGGCTCCTCTGTGGGGTCTCATTTAGTGGCCAGAGTGGCGAGGTTCAGAGAGCGGCACAGTTTACCCAAGGCCACACAGCCGCTGAGGGGCGGCGCCATTCTTTTTTTCTTGTCTTTCTTTATGCACACAGAACTGGGGTACAGGCCAGAGGTACAGGGGTGGGGAGAGGCTGCACCAGAGATAGAATGGGGAGCAGAACAGGAGGACTGATGAAGTGCACTGCTGAGGGGAGCAGCGGGCGGGTCAGGAGAGTTCTGCCGCGCCATGTGGTCTCCTCCGGGGCAGGCGGGAATCGAACTCATGCGGAAGTGGCTTTAGCTTCTCAGTGCTGTGCTTTACCCCGCTGCGCCACCAGGGAGGGCCCCTCTTTTTTTTCTTTTTAAGATGTATTTATTTGTGCATACAGAACTGGGGTACAGACCAGAGGTGCAAGGGGTGAGAGGATTTACCAGAGACAGAGTGGGGAGCAGAACAGGCAGATGGACGGAAATACACTGCGGAGGGGAGCAGTGGGTGGGTCAAGGGAGGGCTGTTGCACCATATGGGTCAGCTCCCTGGCTGGGGATCGAGCTCATGCTGCAGTGGCTGCTGACAGCTTCGCAGTGCTGCACTTTAACCCCCTGCGCCACCACAGCGCCAACTTATATTCAACCACGGGCGTGGTTTTCCCAGAACTTGACTAAGACCATACTCCACTCTCTGACAGCCCTTCAGAGGCACCCGTCTCTCGCAGGGTGAAGCCTAAATTCCTTAATTTGGCTCATTTCAATGGTGTGGTCTGCACCATCTCTTCAGTCTAATCTCCACATAATTTCTATCACCTTCCCCCTACACTTCACCAAAGCTATAAGATCCTACACCATTGTGAGCTTCCTGGCGGCCAAAGCAAGAAAGGAAACCCAGTGGGGAGTTGAAGAGAAGGAAGAGCTGACTGATAAGAGTTGTAGTAGTGGTGGAAGTATTTTGGAGGAGGAGGAAGGGGGTAAACTGATGAAGGAAAGTATGTGCATGGTAGGGGTCCCTTCACGGAGCTGACCCTCCATCATGGTCTAGCCCAGCTACCGTGCCTAGGTCTGAGGCCCTTCCTCCACAGGGCTGCCTTGAGTGACACAGTGGGACTCTGGGAATCCCTACAACAGCGCGGGGAGACTAGTCTACTCCAGGCAGCAGAGGAGAAGTTCACCATCGAGCCTTTCAAGGCCAAGTCCATGAAGGATGTGGAAGACCTGGGCAACCTCGTGCAGATCCAGAGGTGAGAAGGAGAGGGCAGGGGAGGTGATCCAGACCATGCAGATTGAGGCCTGCAGGACCTCACATCAAATGTCCACCAGTGCTTCCAGGGCCTCCTCTCCTTGAGGCACCCCATACCCATCCCCCCTGTAAAGTGCCTTCCACCCCATGCAGTGGCCACCCAGAATCCTCACTGCAGTCACTACCCAGGCAGAGTGACCAGGGCGCTTCCTTTTGCCCCATTCAAGACTTGCCACCCGCTGGCACCCAGTTCTTTACTAAGCCAGGGACACCCTCTCCCCTGCCAGCGTCAGTGAGCTGCCTTCTGCATTTAATGATGGAGGTGATGCCTGCAGCCACCTTTCAAGGCAGCCAGGCCAGGTTCGCCCCCACTTTATTGAGGAAGGAATGTTGAGGTCCAGAGGACAGAGGAGACCACAGAACACACAGAACAATTGAACTGCCTTTCACTCATTCCTGCATCGCACACTGAGCTCCTCATGCTGTCTGGGACCACACAGAGATGCCTATGCCAAGACGCTCCCAGGAAGCGCACCGCTGTGCTTTAGTGACCAGCCAGCCTGGGGGGTTCTTTTTAAACATGGGAGTTGCAATAACCCCACGGCAGGCAATGCTCCCAGGAATAGTGTGCACAGGGACACATCAGTTGGGACTCGGCCACAGAAGAGCCTGCTGCCCTCTAATCATAGCCTGTTCTCTCTAGAACAAGAAATTCCTCAGAGGACACAGCTGGGGATCTCCCCGCTGTCCGCGACCTCAAACGGCTGGAGTTTGCGTAAGCAGAGGGGTGGGTGATTGTGGGACCCCACATGGTTTCTTCACAGTATCAGCTTAGCTTGTGCCAACTGAGTGGAGCTAGAGCCCCAGAATCCTTCTTACTCTCCTACCCCAGCACTCTGGAAAACAGCTCCTGCTAGCACTGCTTACTGACTCGGTTACTGGGTAGTGCGTCATTCTCAGACATTCATTCAACAGGTGAGCGTTTACAGCAGTTTACAGGCTGCTGCAAATAGGTGCTTCCAGCAGGAAATGGCAGGCACACTTAGGGGAAGTCAGGGTGGACTTCCTGGAGGAGGTGACTGAAGCACTAAAGCTTAATGAAGGATTAGGAACAAACCAGGGGGAGGGCCATACAGGATAACAAGAGCAGAGCAGAGGAGGAGAAGGACCTTCCAAGAATTTTAGTTTGGCCAGGGGCCACCAAGAGAATGTACCCTCCACCAGGCCCTTCCTTAGAAAGGCGCTGCCAGGACCACCGTCTGAGAGATTTCTCTGCTGTGCAGGGATGACACACACAGTGCCCCTCACGCCAGAGTTTGCTCAATACCAACATCCAGGGGTGGATTCTCTGCTGGAACACTGGCCCTGGCCAATATTACTAGACCCCGGGTCCACCCACTCCCAGCACAGGGTCTCAGCCCTGGCTGCTCAGCATGGGGTGCCAGACCCTGCCCCAACTCAGTGGCTCGGCTCCAGGCATCGTCCCCCACTCTTAAGGCTTCCCAGCAGTGAAAGCTCCCTGCAGAACCTCCACGCTCGCCAGGGGACGTCCTGATTTTAGCTCTGAGTCGTGTGTTCCAGAAGGCCCCTCAGTCCTCAGTAAACCACGATGGTTGCTCACCAGTGTGTGGCAGGGGCTGGTGCCCCGCTGTAGGCAGGGCATCCGGGGCATGGACATGAAGACTTGGCAGGTTCTTAGGTCCAGCTGTCCCTGCGTCACTGCGGACAGGCACCACTAGCAAATGGCCGGTGCGGCTGCCTCTGTGCCAGGGAACCAGCGTTTCCAGCACGGCCCTCAGCTCCCATCACACCAGTGCAGTCGGGGGGCCTGGAGCATGTAAACTGTTCATCCAGAGTCATTTAAGTCAACTGAACCTGACTTGTTCTAACAAAGGAAAAGCCAAATTCATGTCTGAGCTTTGTTAGGGATCTAAAGTCATCGAGTCATGAGGAACTAGTAACCACTTACGGTGTGTTCCATGTATTGTATAAGTATCTCACTCATCTCGAGAGTGTCTCCAGGGTAAAGCCATTGTCTTCTCCATTTTGCAGATGAGGAAACTGAACCCAAGCGAGGTTAAGTCTCTGCCCCAAGCCCCAGCCAGTGACCCACAAGCTATCTGTTTCTTTGGCTCAATCCCGTCTCTTACCCCCATGACCCAGAAAAAAGCAAGCATTTCTTGTTTTGAACAGTATACCAGACGTGTGCAGAGGTAAAAATGTTACTGAAAAGAGGAAATATATGAAAACAATCACCAAAGGCCCCTCTGACTTTGAATTATTTTTAGCTTAAAAAGCCCCGAGTTAAGAGGTCGGAACTATGCTCTGCGGGGCAGCAGCCCTGGAGTGGAACAGCGCGGAACAGGAGAGCAGCCCTCTGAAGGCTAAGCGCCCCAAGAAAGTCCTAAGGAAGGAAAGAAAGGACTGTTTTGGGGGCTGGTGGGCAGTTTCTGTGCCAGCTAGCCCGTAGGCCTCATCTGCCTGTAGGTTGGGCTGCTCTGCCCTCTAGACCTCTACAAGGACGCTGCTGGACACAGGCCTGTGTGCCAGCTTCCCCTGGCCCCTTGACCCCTCCCTCCCTCCTAACTCCTCCCCGGGCCCTCTGGTTTGCAAACCCGCTGGACACCACCTGGCCTCTGGGCCCTTGCATGCGCTGAGGCTTCTGCCTTGATGCTTTCCCCCAGACATCTGCACAGCCATGGCCTCACTTCCTTCTGGTTTATACTGAGTGGGGGTTTTTGACCTCCCACTGTAAAAGTAGAGTAACGCCCCTCCATACCACATATCATCTCCTACACCGGATGTTAGCAGATTTCTTTCATATCCATCTTACCCCCTGGAATATTGGCCCCACAGAGGCAAGGGGGGGTGTCTGGTGCGTTCACCACTGTCTCCTCGGCAGGTTGTGGGCCTGGCACATAATAGGCAGCAACCATACTGAGTGAGTGAATTGCTAAATTCCTCCCAGCAACCCAATAAGACAGGGCTACATCCCAGGGCCTGAGGCTCAGAGAGGAGGGCCTTGCCCCAAGACCTCAGAGCAGTGAAAGGGCAGAGCCCAGAGTCCAATCAGACTTCAGACTCGTCTGCGGGCATTTCGTTGAGGCCCGTGGTACCCACACTTGGGTTTCGAAGACTAAGAACTTTCTAGAATGAATTTGAGTGATGATGTTTAGCTGCCATCTTTTAAATGTTATCAATATGTGATTCAAACAAGCAAAAATAACCACAGCCGGCACCCAAATGTTACGGAAGAACGAACATTTTAACATCAGAAAGTCCAATGTACATAATTTCAAAGCAGTTGTTTATAGTGAGTACATTGGACTATATTTTTAAAACAAAACAGACTTTCCCCGTCTTTCTCCGTCCCTCAAAGTCTGGTCTGAAGGTGAGTCTGGACTGTATCACCTTGTGTGGGTTCAGTGTCCCCTCTGTAAAGGAGAATAAGAAGCACCCCTAGCTCAGCACCACCGGGGGCAGGGCCAGGCGTGTGCCTGTGTCCGTCTCAGACTGGCCCACATGCCGCTGCTGTGCCTGGAGACAGGTGACCCAGCTCCCCTGGGACCCGCACTGGGGAGCTGCTTTTCCAGACTGGGGCAGGAGACGGTGGAAGGGTGTCAGCGGAGTGAAGACCAACTCCCCAGCTGGCTGTTTCGGGGCTTTCTGGAATCTCCCCAGAGTAGGTGGGTTGGGGGTCCCACTGGAGGGGGCTGAGAAAGGAAGGAAGTGGGGAGATGTGGACAGAAGGGCGTCACCGGGCCCTGTCTGCGGCCCACCCGGGGCCAAGTTGAGGGACTTGTCTCACTCCTGCTTTTTGCCTCCTAGGCTGGGCCCCACCTTGGGCCCCCAGGCCTTCCCCAAACTGGTGAGGATACTGGAGGCCTTTGCTGCCCTTCAGCATCTGGAGTGAGTATAGACCCCGGAGCCCTCCCTGGAGCTCAGGTTTGATCCCACACACCTGCCCTGAGAGTGGCGTGCTCTTCTCTGTCTCATTTGCACACACCCCTCACTCGCCTCTCATTTCCTCCCCACCATCTCTCTCTGCGCCCCCAAATCCTTCCTTAACTCCTTCCTCAACATGGCTGGTGTAACTGACCCTATTACCCACTTCAGGGAAGGGGTAACAGATGGGGGTCCCCACTTATGGAGGGGTTGAGTCCTTATGTGACCCGGGAAACCCCTTTCCCTGCCCAGGGTGGGGAACATGGCTCCACTTTATAACTGATGTCACAAGAGCTGCAGGAAGTTGCCCAAAGCCACGGGGCTCCCAGGAAACAAAATGGAAACAGTCAGGTCCTTTGAGGTTTCTGGCCTTGTGTCAGGCCTGGCTGGTCAGTTGGCACTCCTCCCCCATGCAGCGGGAGGGCAGGGGTGAGTGGACGGTCAGGTGGCCTCCAGGGTGCTAACTGACAGCTTTTTTTTGGTTCTGCCCACAGCCTGGATTCACTGAGTGAGAACAAGATCGGGGACGAGGGCGCCGCCCTGCTGGCAGCCACCTTCCCTCGGCTGAAGGCCCTGGAGACACTCAAGTGAGTGGGAAGCCTGTGCCTGTCCATCCTGCTGACCTCGGTCTCTGAGGCCCAGCTGGCCCTCATTCACTGGCCTTTTTTTTTTTTTAAGGTTTATTTATTTAGTCACATAGAACTGGGGTACAGGCCAGAGGCTCAGGGGCTGTGAGAGGACGCACCAGAGACAGAGAGGGGAGCAGAACAGGCCGACTGAAGAAGTCCACTGCTGAGGGGAGCTGTGGGTGGGTCAGGAGGGGTCTGCCGCGCCGTGGGGGTCACCTCTGGGGCGGGGATCGAACGCGCACTGAAGCAGCTGCAGCAGCTTGCAGGGCTGCACCCTAACCCGTTGCGCCACCAGGGAGGGCCCCGGTCACTCTTTAACCATTTAATCTTTCGCCAGTTCGCTCATTCATCTGTTCAATAAATGGCTAGGAGGTGGGGAGGGTGAAATGGGGGAGCTAAATCAAGATTTATTGGCAAAACATTTTCAAAATAGCAAATTTTAGTTCTTTTAAACCACTATTCTCAGGAGCTGGGGAGGGGGCGTCCGCCTTTGGTGTATCCAGGAGTGAGAGGGATGTGGGGAGAGGGGTGTGCAGGGAGGAATATGATGCAGGAAGAGCCACGTGATTTTTTTACTGAACCCAGGGGTATCGTCAAAAATCCACCCACACCCCACTTCATAACCATGGTGGGGACAGCCACAGAATTCACCAGCTTTCTCCTGGGGGTTCACTGATGGCAGGACACAGACTTCTCCAGTAATTCACAGTGCTCTAGATAACACTGGAATAAGCCCAGTTTCCTCCCTCCCTCCCTCCCCTCTCCCCTCCTTAAGTATTTATTGAGCACCTACTATGTGCTCGGTGGCCTAGGTGACAGCGATGACCAGAACAGACCTCTCCCCGGCAGGCTCGCGGGCCTTGAACCAATGACGCGAGTTCTTAGCTAATCGCTGGGCTGAACGTTTCAGCCAGTGGCAGGAGGCGACTCCGTCTGCACCCAGGCTCGGCCACGTGGCCGTGGGCGTCACTTGTCCTGCATCTGTGGGTCAGCGTGGTCTGCCCAACTCGCTGCCCATCACCCACAACTCTCCCCAGGGCCACTGGCACAGACTTTTTGCCCCGCTGTTGCTGGTGAGGGGAGAGAGTGTCCCAGCTCTGTGCCTCAGCCCTGCGGGGTGCAGGGAGGAGGGGAGGTGGGTGCTGACGGGGGCGGTGGGCAGTGTGGTCAAACCCCTCCTTGCGCCCTGCAGCCTGTCCCAGAACAGCATCACAGACGTGGGCGCCTGCAAGCTCGCAGAGGCCCTGCCCTCACTGGCCGCCTCCCTCCTCAGGCTGAGGTGAGTGTCCCTCCCTCCTGCTCAGGGCTGGGCAGGGCAGAGAGCGCCCTGGGGCCCTGAAGCAGTCGCTGCAAGCTGTTCTGCTGTGTCGGTGCCCCACAACTCTGGGGGGGGGGGCGGAAGGGGACATGGACCTGATATCCAATATGAGCCCAGTCCCAGCCCCCTGCAGAGGGCAATGCCATCACCCCAGCAAGAGAACTGACCCCAGGGCCTCCTCTGGGAAATGGGTGCCAATGGCCTTTCGAAAGCGCTGGTCACTTGGCTCTGGTGTGCAGTCAGTACTGGTTCCCTCCACAGCACTGCAAACCCAACCTTTACCCCCGTCTGAAAAGGGAGCCTTGGCGGGCGGGTCACCCACTCGCCAGTCAGCGCCTACACTGCCACCTTCTGGTGGGCCTTGGCATAGCACTTCTGCACCTGGACCAGAGAGGAAAGCCAGCACTTGGACCCCAGCTGCAGTCCCCCCCACTGCTCATCTCCCCAGCCAGAGTCCCACTCTCAGGGGAGACGGCATCTGGTTCATCTCGTGCATCTCCCCAGCTAGGGTCACTGTACCCAGTGTGGGTTGTGCCCTGTGCCACACACTCTGTGACCGGCACTCCCCGCGCTTGTGCAGGGCAGCAGATACTCTCTAGCAGCAGCTAGTAGCTGGCACGTTCCAGAAACTAGAAGCCAATGTGACCAGCTCAGATGCTGGGGGGCATGCAGTGCCTGCAGGGAGCAGCGGAACGTGGTGGGGGGGCGCAGAGTAGGCACACAGGGGCCTTCGTGCACCAGGAAGGGCAGTTGGGGATTTTCTCACCATGGATGGAGAAGCAGGCAGACGATGGAAGTGACAGCTGATCTGATCCACACATTAAGAAACCACACCTCGTGGAATCCAGGATGCCAGTCATGGCAAAAAGGCGTCAAGAGGAAAAAGCGCCTCCAATTACACCGTGACCGCCCACTGACTGTCACATGCGCCCCGGACAGTGGCATTCAAATGCAAACATGGCCCTGTTGGCATCAACAAAATGTGGGAAGATGGCCTGCCCGTGGGAAGGAGGGTCCCCTGGGCTCCCGAGATGGCAGAGCCCCCACTGGCTCCTGTCCTGGCACCAGCTGGCCGGTACCGTCAGGGTTCCAGCGTCTGGCCTGAGTCCACTTTGCCACACTGGACCTGCTGCTGTGCATGCGGCCCTCGGGAAGCCCTGAAGCAGCGTCAGGCCCCGGGATTAAAACCACAACAGCCCCCAGCTTGTCAAAAGGACGCTGGCGGGCGAGCGTGCGGCCCCGTCAGCCCACGCGGCCCCACCCCAGCGTGCTGTTGACAAGGGTGAACACGGCGGAACCTCTCCTGGCTACAGTGCTGGCCACACCCTCTGAGTAACTGCCCCTCCCACCCCCCCAGGGTCATAACAGCTCTAGGCCAAACCAAGTTCATTCCACAGGGGGTGTTTATGAGCATGAGGTCACGCACTGCCCCCCACAATTACTCCATTTTATGGAGCAGCAGACTGACTCAGAGCTAAGGAACTTGCGAAGGTCACACAGGCAGCAGGTGACTGGGCTGGGCCTTGACCTTGGGAAGTCCCTGTCAGCAAGCTAGCGCCTCTCGGGTCCCTCGGCTTCCCTGGCCACCGAAAAGCAGCCTCAACGCCAGGCCTCCACTGGTCCCCCCCGAAGCGTGGTGGGGGCCCTGCGGGAGCAGAGCTGGCCGGCAGCACAGCCCCAGCCCCTGCCCTGACGTGTTTCTGCAGCTTGTACAACAACAGCATCTGCGACGCGGGTGCCGAGAGCCTGGCCCAGGTGCTCCCGGACATGGTGTCGCTCCGGGTGCTGGAGTGAGTGTGGCCCCGGGGCAGCGGGGCTCAGGCTTGGGGCGCCCGGGGTCCCGCTGGCAGCAGGGAAGGGTGGGGCCGTGCTTGGTGTCAAGAGGGTGGGGGTGGCCGTGGGCTAGGGCTGGACAGTCTGAGGACTGGTTTCTCTCCCCAGCGTCCAGTATAACAAGTTCACCGCTGCCGGGGCCCAGCAGCTCGCTGCCAGCCTGAAAAAGTGCCCTCAGGTGGAGACACTGGCGTAAGTCTCTCCACTGCCGAGGGGCAGGGGGGTGGTTTTGAGGGGAGGCCCCCAGCCCTCCAGGCTTGGGGCTCAGTGTGTGAGTCCTGGGCTAAAATTCTGCTCTACCCTTCGCCAGTTGGCCACCTGGGGTAAGGTGCATGTCACCTGTCTGGCCTCTGGTTCCTGGTCTGTATAATGAGGGTGATGATGTTCGCCCCCAAGCAGCTTTGTGAGATTCCAGTCAGGCAAGGTGTAGGAAGAATTTAGGACAGTGTCTGGTGCGTGACAATGCTCAGTGCGAGGTTGTGTGATACGAAATTCACCACTTTTGACCTTCCAAGTTGGCGATTTCATGTTTTGGTTTATTTATTGCATCACCTTCCTGTCTAATGTCCAGTACCGAGACATTCTATTCTCCTACCCACTTTCATCGACAGATTCATGTCTTCTAAGAAGGTTAGGGTATTTGAAGACCCATTTTACAGATTAGGAGAATGCACAGAGAGGTTAACTGACTCTTTGGAGGTCACACAGCAAGAGTCAGCAGCGGAACGGGGGGCCCCACAGCCCCACCCCGGCCTGGTCCTGCCAGTGGGAAGTCCCCATGTTCAAGGCTACCCAGCCTGGGGGGGAGGAATTTGGGGGCAGCTGTGGCCAGGCTCTGACCTTGTCCCCTGCCCCTGCAGGATGTGGACGCCCACCATCCCATTCGGGGTGCAGGAGCACCTGCAGCAGCAGGACTCACGGATCAGCCTGCGGTGATGCCAGGTACTGGGGGACCCCGGTGGGGAAAACCACAGGGATCTCTGGGGTCCATGTCCCAGTGAAGGCAGCCTCCATAAAAGGCAGGTGGAGGTAGCAGGTGGGATCTGGGGGCCACGCCAGAGCATGCGTTATCTTGGGTCTCCTGCTGTCCCCACACGGAGCTGGGCCCTGAGTGTCCTCCCTGTGCTCAGGCTCGGGGTCTGGGGGAAAGAGAGTGGGGTCAGCAGCCACCCTCCGTCCTCAGATTTAGGATTTCCCAGCCATCCCTGCTAGGTCTCAGCCTCTGGGGGGCCTGATATCCTGGCTGGTCCTCATGGGAGCATGCTCCCCAAGACCCTGGAGGTCACTCCCCAAGCCCGCTGCCCCATCTCTGTTCCTGCCCCTCCCTGATCTGTACAGCAGTCTCCATATGTCAAGCTATCCGGCCCTCTAAAAGGCCTCCTGACCTGCCTCCTTTCCTGACCTCCCACAGCATGTTCTCTAGGACGCTGACCATTCCGGACCTTGAGTAGGTTATGTGTGGACACAGCTCTTCTCAGGCTGCCTCCAGGACCTAGCGTCCTGGCACCCAGCCCTGCTGGCTCAGGGTGAATCCTCTGCGTGGAGGTGGAAAGGTCCCCAGCCTGCTGCACAGAGAGACCCAGGTCCGGTCCAGGCTCCTGCGGGGCCCAGATCGAGGTGGCCTTGGGGATGGGCTGGCGCCCGATGTACCCAGCACCCTCAGGTGCTTCCTGCGGGACACTCCAGGGAGGCCTGGAGAGGACCACCTGCTACCAGCCCAGGTGCCTGCTGGCTTGAGGCTGCTGACATGCCTGACACACCCTGAAGATGCCACAGGGTACCGGGCCTGCTCATTTCCCGGGCAGAGACGGGCCGGGTTCCATGGCAGCTGCTCTCTGTCTGCGGACTCTCTGTTTTGCACTGACTTGGTTTGCGAGGCCAGAGCTGGACCTTGGCAGGAAAACTGCTGACGCACACTAACGGGGCGGGGTGGAGCCCGTCTGCCTGGGGCCTCCCCCCCGTGCCCTCTCTCACTACGTTATAAAGCCTCACTTCATCCCAAAGGCAGGCCTGCTGTTTGTGATTGCACCGTGATGCCTGTCCCTGCTCTCTGGTTATCTGATGTATCACTGCCTTATCCCAGAGTGGCTTCGTC